AGTGTCTACTCCAATTCACCACTACCACACAGTTCTTGTGCTTATTTAGAGTATGAGGATATTTTGGGAGACGAATCAGAGGAAGGTGACTCTTTTTCTGGTTTTAGTGAAATAGATTCAGAGCATAGTGTTACCACGCCTCTCGCTAGTACCAGTGGTGTTACCAAGCGAGATTTTGTCGCATCAGCAGCGTCTCGCCCAGCCAAGCGCCACCACGTGGCACCACATGAGAAACCAAGACCCTCATGTTCACTTGATTTTACCTCACGTTCATGTAGCACCTGTACTTTGCATAGACGAGCTTCAGCTCCTGGTTCACGGTGTGCAAGAGTTCCTTGTCATCGTGCCGCTGTTTTGTCTCATAGAACATCAGGTGTACTTGTGTGAAGTGATGGTGACAATTTTGTTCCTCTAATTCCTGCCTTTGACAATAAAGACGTTGGGATTACAGACCTTTTCCCTGATACTGGTGAGGACATGTGTGAAATAAACTATTTTGCAGTGTTTTATGATTAGACGCTCATGGAATATATTGTACACGAAACGAACCTTCATGTTATAAAAAATATAACAGAATTTTCACAATTACAGCGTTGGAAAACACTACTACTGTATAGGTGAAATGTATGTATTTTTGGCACTAAGTTTGTTGAAGAAACATTGTGTCAAACACGCTGTTACAGATGATTGGAGCAAAGACCAGACTGTTCCAACACCCTTGTTCGGGAAATATATGTCACGAGACAGGTTTCAGATACTCCTCAGGTGTCTTCATTTTGCAAGGAATGAAGACCGGACAGAGGATGACAGACACCTTCCTCAGGGCTCTTGTAAACAGACACCATTTAAAAAAAAATCATGGGCAACATTCCCAGGTGTGAAAGCCTCAGTACTGAGTGAGCCACCAAGGCTGGCACATGCAGCATGAGCTCACAGCACTGCTGTTCAGCTTGTGACCACAGCATCGCCTAAAAATGCCAAAATTTTTATGTAACTGGTATTAGCGATGATAGAATTACAGAAGATCCCTGACTGTGATATAAATGACCAGGATTCTGATAATAGCAGAATTGTTGTGATAATTTGTGCTGTGCTGTGTGAGGAGTAATGCTGAGGGAAGGGGGGGGTACCCCGCGGTATAGTCTGCCGAATCTGTGTGGCCACCTGTTGCTATCTGCACTTACTATACCAGCTTAGTGGTTCACTATGGTGACCAAAACATGCAGATACTTACATACAGTACAACCTTGATTCAACGTACCCCGATTCAACGAATCTCCGGCTACTTTACACACTTTTCAAGCCCGATTTACTCACCCGGTTCAACGAACAATGGTTCACCAAAGCGGGGTATGTTCGGATTTGCTTACGATGTCGAGACAGAGTTCAAAGACTGGTGGAAAACTTTCCCATTAGATTTAAATTCCCACAGATTAAAATTAATAATTCCCTCATATGACAAGTTCGATCACACAAGTGGTCCACAAGTGGTCCACAAGCATACGATGTTGGGACAGAGTTCACAGTGTGGTGAAAACTTTCCCATTCCATCACAGATTACAATTAATAATTTCTTCATAAGACAAGTTGGATCACACAAGTGGACCACACAACAAGTGAACCATATGAACCAAACACCAGCCAGAATGGTCCACACAAGTAGTGACGCATATTAGTCAAACACCAGCCAGAGTGGTCCACACAAGTGAACGACTGAGTTTCAATGATTTTCGTTCACTGATTTGTGGCACACATATCTTTGTAAATTAATTTAAAGGCTGAAGCGTGAATAGCTAGCTAATGTGTTGAAATCTTCTTATATACATTTTCTGTGATGCAACAAGATGAGTGAGGGTGGACAGATAAGGGAATACTGTACAGTAAACCTCACTTTTCAGTGAGGTTTCACTCACTTTCGGATGTGTCATCATAGTTCAGTGACCCACAACTTTGAACGTTTCAGATAACTAAATCATTTCTAAAACTGGTGTTTTAATAACTCTTTATTATCCTAATTAAACTAAACTAAATATAACCAAAAATACACTGTAAATATGATGGATATCTGCTATTTGAGAAATTATTCATGTGGCACAACTCCAGCGCGAGTTGATGGGTCTAATCCGTGTGCACACAACACCATGTGTGTTTTGTTCGATTTTGTCGCCACAGTTCAGTGACCTACGGCTTCGAAATAATAAAATTAATAAAGCAGTTCTAAAATAAGTATTTTTTTATAGCTCTTATTATCATAATAATAAGAGCTATAAAAGTACCCCAGAAAAGTCATCAAAGCCTGATGTTATAATGGAAGGGGACTCCCCTTCCAAACATTAGCACCTCTCCTCCTTCCCTCCTCACCGTCTTCCATACGCCAACAAGAGTCATCAGTAAAGGTAAGGTAATAACTTGTACATACTTTAGTACTGAAGATTTGGGTGAAGTAGGTACAAAATTGACTTTGAAGTTAATTTTTTAGGAAGTGTGGAATGGATTAATTCAATTTCCATTATTCCTCATGGGGAAATTCGCTCCAGTTTACAAATTTTTGGCTTACGAACCAACTCTGGGAACGGATTAAATCAAATTAATTGAATCTCTAATATGCACACCATAATTTTGAGTATAGCAATGGTTCACACATTTTATTATATAAATATATCACACTACACACTATTGAATAATATTACTGAAAAAAACCTAAGAAAAAATCAGATATTGAAATAATTATGTAATAATATCTTTGTGGCAACTCCCGCCTGACAGCTGGGGCAGAGCAGACCTCTCTCCAACGCTTGCTCTGTCAACGCCTCTTTCTTGCTAGACTTCCCCCGTTGTATTATTGCCAAAATATGCCATCTAAGATTTTTTTTTATTATTTTTCCCATGATCAGGGAACACAAATGAACGCTTTTATGAGACAAAATATTTTTGGTTATTTCTTGTGCCTGGGCATGTTGCAGGCTATAATTGCAAGCCCTGGAGTTAAAAACAGTGCCAGAGTACTGGGGTTACTCCTCCAATTGTCTGTAAACCTTCCTTAACTTTCCAGATGTGCTCCCAGTGTGGTGGAAAATTGTCATTGCTCTTTACACCTCTGAGAGGGAAATTAGGTTTTGGCTCTGGTCCCCAGTAGTCCAAACAGAATGTGACCAATTTGCAAGGAGCAATCTCAGCAAGATTGCTTCAGGGAGCCACCAAGGCTCATGTAGGAAGAGGCATATCATTACATTCAATGCTGGGTTTTTATTAATGTATATGTTTTGTTGTATTAAACATCAGTTAGTTTTGTGTAAATGTTAATTTTTTATATTTCATTTGCCAAAGTTTGCAAGCACAATATGCTGAGTTATGCATGGGAATGCATAGTACTGTGTAGCTTTCTGTAGTTTTGTGAGAGTAGCGTTACTGCCCTCAGCCACCTTTTGAGGGGAGCTGGACTTAGCTGACAGAGATGGTGTGTGTGTGTTGGGTTGTACGCGTAAAGTACCCACCTCCATAGCAACATATTTACCGCAGCTTTTCATGGTGATTGATAAAGTAGTTAACCTGGCTAGTTGATAATTATTGTACTATTTGTCCCATTCCTTCTGTTTTTTAAATATAATGGAACCTCAATTGACAAATGCCCCTCTTTAAGGGTTTTTCGGTTTACAGGCTCAATTTTTTTGTAGAATTTGACTCGGTATTCGAGCTTTGCCTCTCTTGGCAAGTTTGTTGATACACATATGGGTCAACTGAGTAGGTGGTTCCTGGTGGCACGGGTGAGGTGCACTTCAGTTTACCAGTGTCTCTCGCCTAGTGACGATCGCGCTTGAATTCTCTGTGAAGCATTTAATTGTTTTTGAGCTTTTTTGGTTTATGAACATAAAATTAATTATTATATATCATGCCATGGGTTCCAAGAAAGTCAGTAGTAAAGGTCAACCTAAGAAAATAGTTGAGTAGAGGCAGTAGAGGATGTCCCTTCCTCATTAAAAAAATTTGTGAAGTATGGGAAGAACTGTACGGTTTTGCTGAAAAAACTCGCCGAGATAAAGCTGTAGCAGGCTGTTGCATTAACTTTTTTATTGATAATGTGATGTCTCACTACAGACAATTGTTAAATTGAAGGGAAAACAAGTGTTTTTAGATAGATTCTTAGTAAGACAAGCAAGCAGTGAGCCACAACCAGGTCCTAGTGGTATGCCTGCAAAACATAAGAGAGAGAGAGCATCCCAGGAATGTCATGCTCGTGCCTGATGTCACAATGGAAGGGGACTTCCCTTCTAAATACTAACACCTTTCCTCCTCCTCTCCATCTTCCAGATGCCAACAAGAGTCCTCATTAAAGGCAAGATATACTTGTACATACTGTAGTACAAAATATAAGTAGTATTATGTATAAAAGATATTTTTAAGTTAATATTTTTGGGGGTGTGGAATGGATTAATTCAATTTAAATTATTTCTTATGGAAAAGATTCGTTTTGGTTTACGAACCGTCCCTGGGAACTGATTAAATTTGTAAATGAAGGTACCACGAAGATTTGTAAATGAAGGAGGCGGCTTGGTCGACGACCGGGCCGCGGGGACGCTTAGCCCCGGAAGCACCTCAAGGTAACCTCAAGGTAACCACTGTAAATATAAGAATGCACCTTGCTGGCTTGTTAAATCCTCACAATTCAAAATACTTGTGTCATTTGCTTGGTGTTTCTTCTCATATTTGAAATGCATCTTTATATATTTGTTCTGTGTCCCTGATTTTGAATAACGTACATGAACTGTAAGGAGTATTTTTTTTTTAATTACCTCTTCTACATCAATCGGAATGTTAAATTAAAGAAATGGAATTTATAAGCAGAATCCAATTCTCAAAAATTTCTATATTGAAAAACATTAATTGATGTGAGCTCTTGTTAATAGCTTATAACATTATAAGATAAATTTATCACTGTATTATATTCTAAAAAAATATGCTTTTTTATATTTTTTCAAAGATAGGATATTCATACATTCCTAGTTACATAGTCAAACTTTTATTTTCATTATACAGCAATTCATATACTTTTATGCTCACTGACCATCTTTAACACAACACCATGAGTTTCTGGAGATGTTACTTTAAGATTAGTAAGATACTTATTAAACATCTCTTGTTCCATAGGGGTCAGAGAATTAAAGTTCACCAATAAGGCAGCCACATCTTCAATGTCTAAGTTCTGCAGCTTATGTTCACTAGGACTATCACCAGCCAGTCTCCCAGCATTTGCAAGTGAAACTGAATGCTGTAAATTATTCAAAAATAATGTTTGATTTGAATTATGTAACTTAGCAGCAATGGCTGTACTTTGATTTGGATACCCACATTCCATAGGTATTTGTTTACTTTGTGGATGTTGCGTGCTTGAATTATATATAGTATTATGTTTATTGCCAGGAGAAATTCCAAGAGTCTGATGAAATTCTTTGTATCTTGACGATTGACTCTGCTGAAGTAAATTATGATCGTTTTGATTGGTGGATATATTATGGCATTTTGTATATATATTGGGACAAAGTTTGCTTGGACTACTGTCTCTGGTCACCCGAGTCTCATTGGTTTTCTTTTCAACTAAGTTCTCTGCTACTATTCCTCCATCTCTGTGCAACACTCCGAGCTGCTCACTTCTTCCAAAAGTACTTGCCTCTGCTTCTCTATAAGTACCTGCTGACATCCAACACATTCTATCTCTTTCCTGAGCATGCACTCTGCTATCTGTTTCTTGAGGTAATGTGATTTGATTTTCTACTGTGATTTGACTCTGTGAAACAGATTTTTTAGGTGATACCCGATAATTTTTCTTGTGTTCATAAAGTGTTTCATTGGATAAAAGCTCCACACAACTACCCAACTTTCTTTCAGTACTTTTATAATTGTGAACCAACCTCTGTTCAGACATGTTTTTTGAGTCAAATAGATTTTCTAAGTTTGTTACTTGTGGTTTAGCACCTATCTGCTCTCCAGTCTTCATAGGAGCATCTTTCATTTCTTGCTGGGATAATTTGTCATCAGGATCATATATAGGGGATTGTATAACCGCAATTGTTCCTGACTTCTGGAATCCACAATTGTTATAATCATCCGGATCATATACTGGGGATAGTGTTCTACTACCTTCTGTATGAGAAGGATTTAAATCATTTTGGTGTGCACATACTCCACTATTTCGGCAAGTCAAAGGAAGAGGTTGCAGTGGATCTAACCCGGGTGAAGACTGCTGTTGATTGATAGATGTAACACTTTTGTTTTGAAAAATTTCAATGGTTCTATTAGTCATCTGCTTTATGGTGGACTCTTTGCTGTTTCCTTTCACTGCTAAGCTCTGACAAAGACCTTCCAGAGGTGTACAAGTATTTGGAAGAGGATCACTCCTAGTGATATTTTGTATCTGCTGGTCAACAATGACATCATTACCTTTACTTGAGGAAGCAGCAGTTGATGGAAATATAGATAAAAGTGTAGCCAATGCTGTATTAGCCTCGGTTCCTTGGGAATTGCCTGTGTTAACTGAATCTGGAGTTGGACTATGCAATTTCTCCTGTGGTTTCACAGAGCACAGAGGTACTTCTGAGCATTTAACTTGCTTCTGATGTTCTTCCTGAGGATAAACAGAACTGCTAGGTAATTCTGTATCTTGAACTGTCTTCCACACTGATGATAAAGCTTTCTCTTCAGATTCTCTTGAAAATCCAATTAGTGGACTTTTCTTTGATGCAAGTCCAATTAGTGGACTTTTCTTTGATGCAAGTCCAATTAGTGGACTTTTCTTTGATGCAAGTCCAATTAGTGGACTTTTCTTTGATGCAAGTCCAATTAGTGGACTTTTCTTTGATGCAAGTCCAATTAGTGGACTTTTCTTTGATGCAAGTCCAGAATTTGGGGAAATACTTTTCTTCATATTCATAACTGCCAGTTCACAATGTTTTTTTGCAACAGCCATAAATATACTGTGAATATCTGTTGCTTTACCTTCTTTCTTTCCCTGATACTTTAGCATCTGTTTAACAAAAATTACCACGTCGTTGGAATCTCTGCCAACAGTAGCTCTAGCAATAGCATCTATATCAAGTCCCAAGTACTTTTCTGTTGATTTCATCTCATTCACTTCTTCCAAAAGTATATTTGTCATTTTCCATGCTTTCTCAATATTGGCCTTGAGTTCTGATTCAAGTATGTTTCTTGTATATTCTGTACAAACTGTTTGATTCACTAGTTCCAGTGTCATGATGTTCTCAGTTTCCAGGAAAAGTTCAATTGAATTTTGACCTCCTACCGTTTTAACTGTTGACTTTATTAGTAAACTTTCTATGATAGGGCCAAGACTACCCAAAATACTGGATACTTTACTAACTGCTTCCAGACATTCAACAACTAATGAATTTCTCTTATGTTTCTTAACATCTTCAATTTGTCCAAAACTATCACTAATCTTCTTAACTGCTGAGCATATTTTCTTCTTTGAAGTTGGTGGTGTTGGAGATCTTAAATGCTTCTGACCTCTGCCTAATGAAGAGTCAGGAACTGTTGAGTCTGGGATGGGATAGGAAAGAGTCATAGAGTCGTGTATTGCTTGTTCTTCTCCACATTTCCCAATAAAGTCTAAACTGGATGAAACACTGACATGGGATAATGAATGTATAGAAGTTTCATTCAAAGGTGCTGTATGACGGACTGACATCGTCAGTGATGGTGTCTGTTGTAATGTACTCCTCATAGATGTGTCTTGGTTCATAGCTGTGTTACAGGGTCTGTGATGTGGTGGGAGTCTCTTGTGCAGTAAATCTTTATCAGCCGTTGAGAATAATACTCCTGTTGTTTCGTTATTCTCTTGTACAGCTGGGACTTCAGGCACTGAAAAAAAAATTAAACTGCAAAATATATAGGAAAACAGCATTACAAATGTTTGTAATAAAGCAAGGTATGACACATAAACGAAGGTTAAAATTATATATTTCTGAGATGACTGTGACGTAAAACCTGAATAACATTTAACCACTGCACTGAGCAATGTGCCTTGTGGTGCTCGACGGGTGGTGAGTGAGGCGCCTCAGGGTGCTCGTAGGTATAAGGTATCATTCAAAACTCCCGCGGCTGCTACACAGGGTCCACATGAACTTCCTCAGGGCTCTCCTAAACAGATGCCTTTTTTTTAAATCGTGGGCAACATTCCCAGGTGTGAAGGCCTCAGTACTAAGTGAGCAACCAAGGCTGGCACATGCAGCATGAGCTAACAGCACTGCTGTTCAGCTTGTGACCACAGCATCGCCTAAAAATGTCCAAATATATATGTATCTGGTGACCAGACCACACACTAGAAAGTGAAGAGACAACGACGTTTCGGTCCGTCCTGGACCTTCTCAAGTCGATTGTGATGATTTAAGATTGATAAAGATTAAGCCACCCAAGAGGTGGCATGGGCATGAATAGCCCATAAGATGATTGAAGGAGGAGAAGGCAATAAATAAGTAGAAGAGAGGTGAGGAGAAAATCTTAGAGGAAGAGAAGGCAAGGCAAAGGTAGGGAAGGTAAGGTGTAATAAGGGGATAGTAAGAATGTGAAAATAAGAACAAAGAACAAAGATAACTGCAGAAGGCCCATTGGCTCATACGAGGCAGCTCCTACTTATACCACCCAATAAGAAGGGGATAGTAAAAGGAATAAGAAGGGGAAATAGTAGGAATAAGCAAGAGATCGTAAGAGAAAACAATGGAAGGAAAAAGAAAGAAAAAGAAGAAAAGGAAACAGAAAGAAAGATAAATGGAAGTGTAAGCTTATGTTAGGTCACATTTGTTAGAAAGATTAGAGCATCTGAGTATATACTGTGAAAGGGAAGAGTCAACAGCAACAAAGCCAGGACTTCAGTTATGTTGGGTACATTGTGTAATAGAGCCGATTCAACGAAACAGAGTCTGTGTAGAGTTAAGGCAGGAAAGATTATTTTGGAGGAAGACCAATCAATAGGATGATCAGAATCCCTAACATGACAGAAGAGAGCATTGTTTGTGTCAGCAGACTTAACACTTCTTTTGTGTTCTTTAAGTCTGTCATTAAGTGTACGGTCAGTTTTGCCAAAGTATTGGAGAGGACAAGATAAACATGACAAACAAGTCCCATTCTTATTCCTTTTACTATCCCCTTCTTATTGGGTGGTATAAATAGGAGCTGCCTCGTATGAGCCAATGGGCCTTCTGCAGTTATCTTTGTTCTTGTGTTCTTATTTTTGCATTCTTACTATCCCCTTATTACACCTTACCTTCCCTACCTTTGCCTTGCCTTATCTTCCTCTAAGATTTTCTCCTCACCTCTCTTCTGCCTATTTATTGCCTTCTCCTTCTTCAATCATCTCACGGGAGACATCTCCCGTCACGCAGGATGCAGTCGCACCTCCACAGATCTCCAGTATCAGCTATTGATACTGGTAAAGCTCAAAAGGGCCATTACTTACGGGCTATTCATGCCCGTGCCACCTCTTGGGTGGCATAACCACTTAACTGCGCCAACCGAGTATTCTCGGTCAGCAGGAAACTGCGCCAACCGAGAAAACTCTTTTTTTATTTTTTGGTACCAATTCTAAATGTGTACGAGGTTGGTTGTGTACGAAATGGATTCTTAGGACCTCCAGTGAGAGGCAGCCATCTTGGAAAAAATTCCCAGAATGCCCTATGGCTGCTGGCTGGGTACTGAATGAGCCTTAATGCCTGAATGGGCCTAAATAGTACTGAATGAGCAACCATGGGTGGCGCATGCGCCTCTGGCTCCCAAACACCTGTCCGACGCGGTGTTGAAAGATAACGCTCTGTCAGTGAAATTCAAACCTTATTGTCTGAAGAACATAAGGGTCATAATATTGGTGAAGCTAGGCACAATAAGGACCTAACACAAAGGTCGAATGCAAGTGATATAGCACCTATGAGGACGATACAGTGAGCGTATCCAGTTGTAGCTCTGAGCGTCACCCTTGCAATCCTATGCAATCTACAATTTATATAGATGATACATAGGTGAATCGTTTTCTGCGTTCAATGATGATGCATCTGATACAAGTTGCATAGATGAACAGTGTTAGCGGCTTCCATGGTGGTGTTTTCCATAGATATTTTCAAGAATACCTGAATCTCTTCCTAATTGACGGACACTGTTTGAGGCTAGCTGAATCTCTTTCTGACTGACGGACACTCTTGAGGTAAGCTGAATCTCTTCCTGTGTGGGACCATACAAAGCAATCTTTACAAGACTACCTTACAAATTTATCTTTTCTTATAATCTTTTCAATACTACCTTATGCTTTACAAGCTTGGTTACATACAACCTACAAGTATTAAAGCCAAGGGTGTACGTGAGTGCGTTATTTGCAAGCACACAGAATGAAGAAACAGGAATCGAAAATTTATCTGTACCTGGTGCACTGAGAGCGAAGTCGCGCTGTGTACTATGGGCTACTTTGTTGATTATTACTCACTTCCGAAGTACTGAGTGTGTAATACAGTGTGTTACTATGTAAATAGTGTGTGAAACTGTACATATTGTAATTTTAGTGAATTTTTAACAGGTAATATTGCGACAATAAACATTTATTGTGGACATATTACTGAGACATATATCACAGTTCCAGGCAACATTATGAACGTTCTACTGTATACATATTGTAAAGGACACAAATATGCATCATATAAAATATAAAATAAATAAAACTGCATTGGAAATACATAAAACAAATAATTGAAAATATATTTGTGGCAACACCCGGTGCTTGAATGGCCCGCGCGACCGTGTCTGGGCGATTCACGCACGGGCGACCAGGCCCTGATGACGTGACAGCGCACCTTGTCCACGTCCCCACAGCAAAAGTAAATGGAATTTGGGATTTATTTTTACTTAGACATGTTCAGGGAAGGAAATTTATCATTTTACGAAGAAAAAAGAATTTTTTGGGAACACTTTATTTCATGCACACCGGGGGAATTTCACAATAAACTGGACGCAGCACGGTGGTTAAACTTTATCAATCTTCAATCATCACAATTGACTTGAGATTGGTCCAGGAGGGACCGAAACGTTGTCGTCCCTTCACTTTCTAGTATGCGGTCTGGTCAACATACTTCAGCCACGTAATTGTGACTCATCGCCTGCATATATGTATCTGGTATTATTTAACCATGATAGTTTTACAGAAGAACCTGACTGTGATAGAAACTGTGTACAATGTTCAGATATCAGTGAATAAATGCTGTTCAAGATGTTCACAGCACTAGCCACAGCACACCGCCATAATTTTGTCCATCTAAAATTCTTCAAACGACTTCTCATGTTCCTTTACAAAATAAACATGCGGAAAATTATTCATTTACATGATTTAGTAACCAGGATTCTGATAATAGCAGGATGGTGGTGAGAATTAGCGATGTGTGTAGTATGGTGGGAGGAGTATTGTTGGTGAGGGTGGGAGGGAGAGAGCGTTGTCTGCTGGCTGGCATGTGGCAACATGTTATTATCTGGAATCACAATACCAGCTAGGTGGTTCGCTATGGTGAACAACAAATATAGATTCTTATAAATAACATGTGTATAGAGTGCTATAACAGCACAAGTAGTTTGTTGGGAGGAATCATTTTGGTGAGGGAGTGGGTGAGGCTCTTGTCTGCTACCTGCTGTGAGACTTGTCATGCAGTGGTCACTATGCTATTTGGACACCATACCAGCTTGTACAAGTATGGTGAATAAAACATGTAAGATACTTATATATATAATGTGTGTATATAGTGTAATAACACCACAAACAGCATGGTTGGGGGAGGAATGTTAGTGCGTCTGGCCTTGAACCAGTGAGGGTGGCAGCTGTCAGCTTTGTGTGGTGCGACCTCTCTTATTGCCTGAGCTCGTCATACCAGCTGAGTTGTACAGTTATGGTGAACAAAACATGTAGATACTTATATATAACGTGTGAAAATAGTGTAATGAAAACAATAACAGTATGGTGGGAGGCAGAATGTTGGTCAAAGGGTGTTGAAGGTGGAAGTCTGAAGGAGGGAGTGAGTCAGCCAGCAGTCTGCTGGCTGCTGTGTCGCAGCCTCTCTTATTGTTTTGGGCTCAAAATACCAACATAGTGGTTCATTATGGTGAACACATATGTAGATAGGTATATACAATGTGTGTATATAGTGTAATAACAGCAAAAACACTGATTGTTTGATTATAGAATACAATATACATGTCACATATATGAGGCCCATAATTTTGAGCATTGCGATGTTCCATATAAATTTGACACTTTCGAATAACGTTACAGCAAAAAACAGAAAAGAAACAAATGAGAAACATCAAATAATTGTGAAACATTATATTCGAGGCAACTGCCGCCCCATGGGGTGGCAGGGCCTAGTGAACTTGAGTGCTCCATCCCTCAGTGCTCATAATTTGCTCAACTTCCCAGCTCCATCATGGCTAAAGTATGACACATACAATTTTTTTTTTTTAGTTTCCCGTGATCAGAGACTGCATTTTAACAATATAAGAAGATAAAATAATTATTTGGTAAGAATTTATATTCTGCGCACCAGGGGTTTGTCATATTTTAATGCAGAGTGGTTTAGGGGCTTACCTTAAGTATATTCCTGAACATGGTTTTCAGATTTACGGTAAATATCTTTGATATTTAGCTTTAAAACATATGCATGGTTACTCAAACTTCAGGAAAAAAAAAAATGCTTATTTTTTTATAAATCAGAATGTTTTAAAAATATTACTGCATATTCATGTTTTTGGTATCATTCAAAATAACAATTTTTTTTATAAATGTAATCTGGTTATCTTGAGATGATTTCGGGGCTTAGTGTCCCCACGGCCCAATCCTT